CCATAGCTACACCCTTGGCTAAGAGTCAGACACCAAGCTTGTTGTTGTTTTGACAACTTTTATTTTATTTAGCATAATAATCAGATTAATCTTAGAGTTATGAATGAAGTTACTGTATCACAGCACAGATCCATCAAAACTATGTTAGGAGAGTGCTATTTTCATACATCCCTGTAATTGTCTGCAATACTTGTTTTTGGTTTTGTTTTGTTTTGTTTTTTTCATAGAGAGTCTTTTATCTCTCAAGAAAAGCAGATTACTTCAGTTGCTTGACAGTAAGGAAAGTGAACTCAGAGCAGATCGTCCTGAAACTTTTGATGATAGGCCTGGTTTAAATGATTCCGAAAATGATACTGTAAGTAATGAGAAGTGCTGATGCATTTCCTAGTTAGGAGTGAATGTTGCCTTAGCACAACACAGCAAATGAGACAGCCCTTCACATTAAGTATTTAAAGACTTTGAAGGCTTTCAAATGACTTATCAGTTAAAACTAAGGTCTGTTTACTGTTCATTATTTCTCACATAAATCTTAATGAGGATTCAAGTTCATTGTGCTATTTTAAAAGAGTGATACCAGCAAAAACTAGAAGCTAAGAGGGGAAGTTAGGCAAAGTGATAGAAACCAGGTTGACATTTGAATATTTTTAATTTCATGAGCATTATAAAGTCTCTTACTAAAGAAAGATTTATTCAATAGGTCTTTCACATTATCTTTAGGCTTAGGCTTTCCTTCTCAACAATGTCTTGGGTTAAAGTGAAATGGTGTAGTTATCAAAAGTATAATTTTGATGTTTTTTAGATGACTATTACTAAATTCTTTCACAGGAAGTTTTGTATGCTTTTGTTTATGCAGTTTCAAAGAACACAATTAGAATATATTGGTTTTGCTAATTCTTATCTGGTTTATATGAATATGTTAAAATGATAATGGTGGAAAGGAACTTGGAAAAAATGAAGACTCAGTTGAGATTGAAGATGACATCACTGGAATGAAATGTCGCATATCATACTCACAGGTTTGACTTCTTTTCAAAAAAAGTAAAGGTATTTGGGCCAAGTTGTCTATCCAGCTAGAGCTTATCCCAGTTCCTTAGCATGAAGCAACTTGGAGTATCAATACCCACCCCTGGATGAGATGCTAGTCCATCGCAAGGTCCCCCCCCCCCCAGCATTTCATCAGGCTTCTCTTACAATTGGCCTGAACCCATTTATTCTCTTGGGTGGTGGAGAGGCACTGTTTTAGTGAAGCAACACATTGACTTGATCAGGTCTCAAACCTGAACCTTTCAACCTGGCCCCAGTCATTCAAAGGTCAGATAACACTATCTGGTGGATAAATCTCTATCTGGTTGATAATACCATACGTTTTGCCATCACTTATCCACTGGATAGTGATATCCACCCTTTATACAACTGGGCCCTGGAGTCCAGCACCCAAAACATTACAAGGCAGTGTCTCCCACATCTCATAAAGTGCTTTTTTGATGTGTGAGTCCAATGTCTCTTTTTGCAAGCCTGGAAATTTTTGACTGGTAGAATTAGAATTAATAGATACATTTTTTTTATTGAGGGAAACAAATTTTTGGAAAGCATTTCTTGAACAGATTCCAATTTTTTAAGGACTGGGGAGTAATGGAGCAACACAATGCTATGGTTTTTGATGCAGATACAGTTGCATTACCTGATGGTAGAGAAGAAACTAAGGTATGCACTCATTACAAATTCTCAACTTTTGTTCACCCCTCACCTGAAAATACACACAGATCAGGTATTTTCTTGCTCTTGTGACTAGAAACAGGTACTGGAATCTGTCATGTATCTCATGACATCCTTCAATTAATGTCTATTAATTTTGACATTATAATGGTTAAATCGTAAAAAGGATCTTAAGAAGTACACAGGTGTTGCTTATAAAATAAACAGAGTAAATTGGGTGGCAGGTTTTAGAGTTTACCTGCATCATTGTTGTTTTCTTTCACACCTTAAGTTATTGACTGATATACCATGTATATAACTGGCAAAAACCTATGAAAGTAATAGGTGAAGTTCACTGGCTGTTGGCTCTTACATTCTTTATAATCTTTACAGGTGAGAGTGTTATTTATGAACCCCACCCATAAATCCATGGTACCCTGCCCTTATTTCCTGGACAGCAAATGCAAATTTGATGATGACACTTGCAGGTTAGTTTTTCTTTCTGTGAAATAATAAGGTGTATTTTGAATACATCTAAGCTTGCATGATCTTTTTTCCAATATTGAAACATAAATATGTTATATTTGTTTTGATTTAAACAAAGTACTATTTGATAAATGAATAAAGGGGGCAGGTTTCTAAAGAAACTGTGGTGCTGTGTGGGTGGGAGAGTATCGCAGGCTAATTTAGTATTATCAACTGAGTTGATAACATAAATTGGCCATCATTATTTGCTCTGATGAAGGGCTAATGCTTGAAACATCAGCTTTGAAACTCTTTATGGTGGCTAATTTACATTATCAATAAATATGATTTTAATACTGGTATTGAATTTCCATTTATCTTTAACTTTGTTTCTTTTGATTTATTTCATTTTAGATATTCCCATGGTTATGTGGTCTCTATTGATGATTTGATGTCATTCAAAGAGCCAGACTTCAGGTAGCTATTCTGTATCAGATTATTTATTTCTATCAATAGTTTATATCTGGTTGAATTAGACATTGTGAAACCACTCAAAACCTGTGCAGACATATGACCATATGCAGACACCCTTACATTTACAGCTGTAGCTTGAAACTAGTATTTGCCAAAGGGGGCTCTTTTAGTCAGGTGAGAGCTTTTCAAAAACATTAGACAAAAGCAAGGAAGGAAAATTATCTTCACACTCCCCACATGTCACTTCTTCTGCTCACTGTTTTTTCTCTTGTTATATTTCATGTGCATTGTCATAGCCAAGTACAGTGTGGTCAGTGTTGTTTGGCTAGATACAATGATGGAGTTTGGTACAAGGCCACCATTCAGTAAGTTCTAATCATACAAATAACCTTAATAACAATGATAAGAATGATTCTGAATAATTATGCTTCTTAAAATGTTTACAATTAATGATTTTTGGAAAATAATAGTACTTAATGAATTCCATAGTCTTTTCCTATTTCAATAATATTTAAAACCATTAATGCACAAATTAAAAATGGAGTTCATTTTTGCACTCAATCTGATTGAGTAGAACTGCTCTACATATTATCACTGATTCAGGCCAAATTTGACTGCACTAAAACCAACTACAGTGAGGAACATAAGGATAATAATAATAATAATAATAATAATAATAATAAATGATGATGATTATGTCATTTGTGTCATTAACTGGAAAGAAAATAATAACTATTAATTGATACCCACTCGTGCTCTCTGATGACCATGACTGCTAAATAAACTTCTCTAAGTGTTATGTTGTTGTTATTATTATTATTATTATTATTATTATTATTATTATTATTATTATTGTTACAATTTTTCAGGTCAATAGATCATGAGGCTCATACATTTGTTGTTCACTATGATACATACAACTCAGATGCTACACTAGGCATAACTGAGATACTTCCTTTAGGTGAGTGAAAGACCATATCAAAGGAAAAACTGCTGACAAAATAAATTGGAAAACCCAGAAGGAATTATACTTTGAAGTATAACTTAACTATTAGCTATTTCCTTTGTGCCGATGAGATGCCAGGATATTTACATGCTAATACAATTCTCTCTCATCCTATGATATGATCTTTAAATATTCTTGGAATATCATGAAAATTTCAAATAGCACAGTCTATTCAACATGAAGTACTCTCTGAATATTAATTTCATTGCATTTTTAGTAATGTGTGGTTTTCTTTGCATGTTACAAAATTATTACCATACCTTGCATTCTTCAGAGACCTAACACCAGCATATTCCAAAAGGCATTTTGAGTTCTGACTAGCAATCTTTTTAATAAAGGGTGTTGCAGAATTTTTATGTTATGTCTATGTTGTGTTTAATTTGTGGAACTTTGTGTCCGGTGTTGTATGTCTTATACCTAATAATTAAGTATATAATTTGTACATCACAGACCAAAGAGATTCTGAGAATGTGTCAGACAGTGATCTTTCAAGTTTGTCTAGTGACAATGAGGAGGTTGATGAAGATCAGGTTGCTGTAGTGCAGCTGGCATGCAAACCATCAGGGGGTCCTGTTTGTCTCGGAGAGTGGGAACAACACACAAAAGTAAGCCTGGTTTTCCTGTACTATTTCTGACTTATAGTAGAAGACCTCAGCCCATGGTTCCAAAATACTAAATAGATATGAATTCCTAGCTTACTGGAATGAGAAGAGCCTTGAAGAGAAGTCATTTGTTTTAGAGTGAAATGTGGCAAGCCTTATTTCATACTATATCATCATAACCAACATGTAGCTGATGACCTCAGAAATGATGAAAGATAATGGAATTTATAATCCTAACATTAACAAAACTAGCCAGAAGAGACTATAATTTTTCCTTTTGGAAAACTCCAAGTGTTGCTTTTTTAATCCAGGATATAAAAGATTACTGAAAAGTTTTTGTTTGTTTTCAGGGCATTGGTTCAAAGCTTATGACCCAAATGGGTTATGTGTTTGGGTATGTTGATGTTGTGGCACAATTAAATCGTTGTTTGAAATGATACTTTCTTTTGTCTCAAACCTGTATCAGGTTCAAGGGATAGACTTTCTTGGGTTTACTGGCCTAATAACCCACTCAGGATGTTGAAAGAACAAAGAAGTAGTTGGTAAATTACTTAACTTTGGCTTGTGACTCACCAACCCTACTAATGTTCTCCCAATACCCCAAGTCAAAGTTTATGCTAGTAAACTGATAGAAAGTGCAGTTAATATCTAAAATTAAAAAGCATTTTACCCCCTAGTAGGTCTTACACTACTTTGAACAAAACACTACAATCTGAAACTTAGTAGAAAAATTTTAGAAGGACTTTGCACATTTTTCTTTTGTTTGTTTATGGCAGCAAAGGACTTGGAAAGGATGGAAGTGGCATTGTAGAGCCAGTTGAAGCAGTTGTATTACCTCAAGGTAAGACAGCATAATTCAAGACCTCTGTTTTGATTGATATACAGGTATATCTGAGGTATAAATGAGTAATTTAAGATGTTAACAATGATTACAATCATTACAATTTCCTCAAATGTCACTAGGGCTGAATGGCTTTTTCCAGACCACTTCAAGTCAATGCATCCAGCCCTACACACCTCAGCTTTCACTATGATTTTCTCTGGAATTGAGTGTGCTGGGCTCAACAGTTCATTTGATAATGATCAATATGATTATTATTATAATTATCTTTAATAATAATTATTATTAATAGTAGTAGTAGTAACTTTATTTATTAATGACTTTAACCTTCTTTTTCTGTGCCAGCAACATTTGGGAATGTACAAGACTTAAAGATAGGATTTCCCTTCTAAAGCCAATAAATTAACCATTACTACCATTCATTACCAAAATCATGCATCATTTAATGTCATCATGATCATCATCACTACTGACTGAGAAATATTGTTAACCTTGCTTGATAAAGTTCCAAAGGAAAGTGTGGAAAATGATCCACAAGTCAACATAAATATAACCAATAATGTTACCAAATGCTTAATGATAAACAAGCAAAAAGCAACAACATTTGTGGGTCTTTCAGGAAAGTCACTTGATCAGATAGCAGAACTCAGAGAAAAAAACAAACTGCCAAAAGTAGGAGGGAAGAAGAGGCAAAAACCATCTAAAGTAAAAAGTGTTAAGTTACCAGAAAGAGTGAGTACCAGTATTTACAACATATTTATTTTGTTGAATTCAAAGTGAATGTTTTCTTGGCAACTTAATGGTAATTTTTATAACAGTGCCAACTAATAGATACTGTGTAGGTATTGTTAACCATGTCAATTACCAACTCCCCAACCATACCTGAAAATACATCAGTCCATTATATACCAATTGTGGTGAATTGGCCCAAGACAAATATGAAGCCCCTTAAAATATTTTAAGAACACTATGGCACACCCATAATACAGCCATCTTCATTGAGCAAGCTTAGTCATTATTACAAGGATTGACTATTTGGCAAAAAATGTTGCTGTGAAGCCTATTGCTTTATTTGAAATATAAATTCACTATGCTGGTCTCAGCTTTCATTTTATTGACTGTCTGAAAGATGCATGTTACTCTATTTTACAATTCTTTCTCTCCTGTAATCTGGGAGATGCATGTTGCTTTATTTTACAATTTTTTCTAAATCAAAAAGGGTCCAATTAACAATAATAGTTATTTAATTTGTGGTTAGGTTGATGTTATTTTGCAATTGTTGAAAATTATTTCACTTGACAAAATTAGTACCTCATTATTAGTACATCTCATTGTAAAATTAAAACATCTTTCAACAATTTTTGATGCATAATTTCAGGCATCTGGTAGTGACATATTTGACTTTATCAACATAAAACTTGGTGGCAAGAAAGGTGATGTATAATTTCTCAGTTTTTGATTCAAGAAAATGTTTGGTAGTAATTTTTAAAGGATAACAAAAAAAAGAATCACAGATTAGGCAAGAAGTCCTGGCTTTTAAGCTGTAGATATCCCTATACTTGTATCAAAATTTAGTTCTTAAATTTGGAAATTTTCTGAGAAAATCTTATGAATGCCAATTAAATGTAAATTTACATATGCAAGATAGCTAACTATGTTGGGATTTTCAAGGTTGCCCTAATGTTTGAGATCACTGTCAACCATGGCAATCTTATTATCCTTATCAATTCAATATGATGATAAGATTTATTATATGCAGTGGGTAATGGGTCACTTCCTCCTTCAGGAAATATTCATGACATAAGAGTTCCTGTTCCTGGGACAAGTGCAAGTGAATTTGAGGTTAAAGACACAGGAAAGAAAAAGAAGGGAGAGGATAAAAATATAAATTGGAATTTACAGGTGTGGTTTACAGTTGTACAAATCAAGAGACAGAAAATATTACCACAGCTTATCGATAGAGTTGAAGGACATAATATCTTCATCTGAAGAGTCTTAGATATATTTAGTGAACCATATTATTTGTTAGTTGTAGACTACATGTACAGGTTGTTAAAGAACTCTAAATATATATTGGATATTATGAACTCTAAACATCCTCTTGGATGTTATTTGAGGGGGGGGGGGACAGTATGGAAAGTCATTTCTCTTCATCAACAGATCTCAGTTGGCCTTGCAGCTAAAATACTATCCTGTCTCCCAGTGTTATTACCATTTGTAATAATGATATAATTTGTTTGTACTTAACCCTTTAACTCCCAGATCAAATTTGTAATTCTCCTTACTATCAACCACACAATTCTTAAAATGTTAGTTCAGAGAATTTAGTATTGGATCAACTAATTATCCTCAAAAGGATATTTTTCTTTATTCTCATCACTTGTCTGGTTGATATTGTATGGATATTGTAAGGAGAAATTCTGACTCGGTCACTCATGTGAGTTAAAGGGTTAAGTGTTGCAATTGTTACTTTAATAAATGCCTTCACAAATGACAGAATACATGGTACTGTACAGTACATATGGAAGCAATAACGAGATAATCACAATACTAAAAGTAATATATAATTACAATAATAAATAGTGTCAAACACTAAATCTTAAAAGAAAAAACTTCAAGATCAAGGACTAAAATAACAAAATATTGTGCGTTCAAGAAACAATATTAAAAGAAAAAAAACTGCTTGTAAATGCAATTTAAGTTTTTCCCATTGTTGTTGTTGTTTAGTTGTCTTATTTGTTTTGCTACTATTTGCTATTTGCCACTCTGTATCTTAAGAATATGTTTAAAGATGGATTCTTATCAATCAATTTGCATTATAACATAGCGCATAAATTTGTCTAATTAAATTCAATTGTGTGAGCATGCTTCATATTCCTATTGTGCACACTCATGACGTCAGCAAAGAAATCCCTCGAGAAAAAAATTTTTACAACATTTAAACCATCGGGTTGAAAATGTTATAAAACAATTGGTTCATACATCAGCTGTGCGTTCATTGAGATATGAAGCACTTGTGAAGTTTGGAGAGCATTCAAGAAGCTAGAGTTGCTCTCAGCTATGCCTCGAGCAACTCTTATGCATCTTTCATGCTCTCCAAACTTCCCTCATGCTTCATATCTCGATGAGCGCACGCTGACAAATGAACCAATTGTTAATTTTATAAAGAAAGAATTTTTCCACAAGTATAAAGTGATTGAAGATAACATTGTCTTCACCTTTGCTAAACTCCCCAAATTAGATGGTGGTTTCCACCATATGTCATTCTTTGGGATGATTTAATAATTTTGAGCTCTTTAATAGTTCCATTCAGTGTTGTCTCACCTAATGAAAACAGTATATTAAAATCATATTCTTGTTACCCAGTTATTTAAGATACATGAGGATATATCAGCTGTCAAGAAGCAGTTGAAGAAAGAAGAAATGGCTCTGAGTAGACATCATGAAAAGTAAGTCTCCTTTCAGTTTAAAAAGTACATGGGAAGATGTTCTGTGCCAAAGAATGAGAGATGGGTGGTAAAAGAAAAACTTTTGCTTGTCTAGTAACAGAGGAAGGGGATGACTTGCCAAGCTGCCACTGTAACAAGTTACACATTACATTGGCAACTAAAAGAGAAAGATACCCACCACTTCTAATGATGTTCACAGATGTGATTACTTGTAACTGAAAACTTTTGGACAAAATTTCATCAATGGTTTGTTTGATATAATGTTTTAGGGATAACAAAACAGCCTCGCACTTTAGAGGGAAAGTTGAAGGCATCAAGGCACATCTATCTCGACTACATGACAGAGAGAAACATATACAGCAGAAACTACATCATAGCAAGAACCATAAAAAACTCACTGTGTTCTAATGATCTCCACATTCTGTAAACAAAAATTGTATACCTCTAAAATAATCACTATATGCCACATGTCAACAAGTCTTATTTTATTGCAATAGATAGTTCTAAGATTGAACCTTGGGGATGCAGACACATGGACAGTTCTTTTTCTATACCAGGCAACATTTATGAGTAGAAGGCAAGATCTTCAGAGTGCCAATCATATGTAAAAGTCTACATAAGTGTCACAAGACATAGAGAAAATTCCTGTAGATGTTCCAAAAAATTTTGAAGGTGCCTTGGAGAGTTGATCCCAACAGGTCTTATAGAACTCTGGGTGAAGAAATGTTGTAATTATCTTAATGTTAAGGAAACATACCCTGTCCATCTATAACATTGATTTAAGGTTCAAACTATGTCAGATAGGCTGTAATAGCTTGAATTTCTTTTAAATGAATGAATAACTTTATTCAAAGAGGGAGACACAATAACCTTTTACAGTTTTCTAACTTATGGCCCTCTCTTGCAAGGTGTAAGCTTGCCCAAGCTCATACATCTTAATCTACTGGTGGAAGAGTTCTGTAGGAAGATAGAAGATTCTGAGCTTGTTTTACCAAAATTAGACTTCACTAATGTATTAAATTTACACGTCTTGCTTATTTGTTGCATTGGTTGTAGTGTTGAAATGAGTATTATTGAAATAGGCCAGGTTTATGACCATGGAGCAATGTCATGTAGGATGTCAGAAACATTCAATTCCAAACTAACATGAGCTTTTCAATATCTTACACCAACTAAAGATAGCTGGAATGAATTCAATCTACTTCCTCAGCATGTGTAGACTTGGATATTTTCTTCAATATTTCAGACAAAATCATTACAGAATACCAGTCTTCCTTGTAACAATCAAGTTCACAGCTATAGCTTGGGTACAGTAGACATTTCCTGTTTCCATTTTATAACTCAGAAAGATATCTTTATGTTTGAAGACACTGGATGTCATCTAAGAATAGACCAGTGAAATGATATTACCTTTACCAAATTCCAAATAAAAATTGACAAAAAGAAGAAATCTCTTCTTTAAGTACCTGGTCTGCTGACCACCTTATGTGAATTTAAAAAAAAAATAGAATAATGAAATCTCAAGTCAGTGTTTTCAAGGTGTATGTTTGTATTTTTGTTGCTCAGAAAGGTCAGTCAACAATTCCTGGTATGGCCTCAGAAAAAGCTCTGTATGTTATATTATCTCCACAAGAGAAATGAATCACTCTGCAGTGGTACTCAAATAATTAAAAATTAAGTCTCTCCACATAAACAACATAATTTTAACAAATAGATTCCAAATTGCCATGCATCTGTTCAGTAATAGATCACAGATGTGAAAATGTGAAATGTGGTAAGAACAAACAAGTGGCACACAAGGCGCAGCCGAGTGTGTCACTGATGTTCTTACCACATTTTGATGTCCTCTGTAATCTATTACTGAACAGACGTACGGCAACTTGGAATCTATTTGTTTTATATAATAAAGAATTAAAAAAAGTTTTAACAATGATGTCATCTATACGTCTTTCCTCCAATAGATCACAAGTGAGAACCAATCAGAATGCATGCATAACTGAGCTTATTACATAACACATGCTAGACACCACTAAAAACAAATTGTTCTAAATAACATCTCATTGCAATCACAAAGTCTACAAAGATTTCACATTACTGTCAACCTCTGCAAATTGAAAATAATGAAAGATTTTTTCTGGGAAGTTGCAGTGTCCAGGCTGATGTAGTCAATCAGAGGAGAGGGTTGCTTGTAACTTTCTCTTTGAAGTTGTCTAAAAGATTCTCAGAAACCTTATGTGGTCAAGTCTTTAAAAAAACAAGAAGGAAAGAGAGATTTCACATACTGAAAGCTATCTAAACTAGAATCAGGCTATAAGGGTCAGAAATTAATTATCACCTGGGAGGGGATCACACTGTTTTCAGGGGGAATGGAGGGGAATCAATTATCACTGATTGAGTATAATGGAATATCATTAGAATGCTATGGGGCCCTAGGGTGGGAACCCTTTCTTTCTTTTCATCTAGATAATAAAAAATCTGTCCCACAAACACAGGATTACAATTACTTATGTCAACATACAGTCTTTAATACAAAGGTTTAAAATTCAATGAGTACATATTCAACTGAAAGAAGTCTGCTTTGTCCCTTGAATGAAAAATGCTGATTGCTTTAAAATCTAAATGCACAAGTACTTCAGGAAATATTGTTTTTTGGAATTATGCCATCCTCCTGGACCTGCACAAGTCAAAAATACTTTGTACAGTCTATGGTTAGACATACAAGGATGGAAAAATTTCAAACTTTTCAGTTCAGATCACATAGCTGGACAACCAACCAACCTACAATACAGGTTTAAAAGTACATGTTTTCACAATTATTGATGTACAGCTACTAAAAATGATACTAATTCTTTTGCAAGTGTCCAATTCCAGAAGTGCACGAGATTTTCAATCAATAAACAGTACAATACACAGTGTTCAATAACACAAAATTTTTCCATTTGTGTTCAGTTCTTTCTGGCTTAGTAAGGCCGATACCCACCACCACCAGCACCACCACCCCCTCCTCCACGTCCACGCACTTGTCCACCACGCCTGTTTGGACCATATGAAGATGCTTCAGAACTGTACTCCCCCATGTTGTGATAACCTCCACCATAACCACTGCCATAGGCACCACCATAACTACCATAACCACCATCATAGCCATAACCACTGCCATAAGAGTAATCACCACTGCCGTAATTTTCATAACCTTCATAACCTGAACCATAGGCAGGTTGTGAGTAGGCACCATTATAACCTGCACCACCACCACCACCACCACCACCACCACCTTGACCACCTCCCCGCCCTCTTCCTCTGAATCCACCTCCACCACGACCACGGAATCCACCACCTCCACCTTGACCACCTCCCCCCTGTCCACTGTTTTCCTCTGCCTTCTTGAGCTCAACTTTCTTGTCTTTGATTGTGCAGTTCCTGATGATAAATAGCTTGTCCACTATGTGTTCATTTTGGAACCAAGCAAATGCATAGCCCTTGAATTTGTTGGTGTTTCTGTCAAACATCAGTTTAATTTTCTCTGGTTGATGGGGTGTAAATATGGCCAGCACATTCTTGATATCTTCTTCAGAGGCCTCTTCATTAAGCCCTCCTATGAAGAGCTTCTTTGTTTTCAACTGAGCCAGTGGGTTTGGATCATCTCTTGGAATTGCCCTTCTTGGGTAAACAGTCTGGCCATCAACAACTTGTGGTTTATCTTCTAAGATTTGATCCACTGCTGCTTGATCAGACATTGACACAAAGGCAAACCCCCTTGGGTTATGATCTTTATCTAAGCCTATCTTGACTTCAGTGACAGTTCCATATTTTCCAAAGTGATTTTTTAGACTTTCCTCAGTTGACTCAAGCTTAAGCTTTCCAATGTAGAGCTTTTTCAAATCTGGATTATTTTCCCAGCCTTCAGTAGCCATGATTGAACAAGCCTAAAAGGAAGCACACAAAGTTCCATTAGTTTAAAATAAAACTTTAAATACTCTCCTGAGCAATTAAGTTAATGAAAAAAAAAAAAAGGTTAAAGAATTTTCCAAACCGCTGAAAGTAACAAATCTTTTCCCTTCAAACAACATCAATGGCAACTATTCTTTCAATTTTAACTAAATTAAAAATAGACTGCGAGAGTCAAATTCAGTGATAAATATGAAATTAAAAAAACTAGCCATGTTCACCTGCAACAAAAGTGAAATGTTACAAAAAAACTGAAAAAGGGCAAATTGAAAAATGAAATAGAAAAGCAAAATATGTGGAAAAAAAGTCAGAGAAATACAGACAAGAAACTTGAAAAATTCTTTATTCAAAAGCAATAAAATTCTATTTCAGTTTGAATAGTTCATTTTCAGGATAAAAGGACATTTGCCTCATTTCCATGATAAAATATTTGTTTAGATATCTAACAGATTAAAAAAACTGATGGCAATTTTCTCTCAAAACCCCATTTTAATTAATTGGTGCTACGCCAAACCATGTCTGTGCAACCAACAGTGCTTCTGTGCTCATAATCACCTTCTCAAACTCAGACACATTATAAAAAGTATCCTTTTACAAATCTTTAGCCCTCCAAGTAACAATTTACAAAGCCTCTAGGGCTTAATTGACTAAAACAGAGAACAAAGAGATAAAACACAGAAATGGAGGTAGCATCTAATACTAGATTCCCTTTTCACTGAAATAAAGAGATTTGGGAAATCATAAAGACAAGTTTCACCCAAGTTAAATCAAAACTCCATTTGTTAATTTTAACTTGTGTTAAGTGTGGAAGTCACCAAAAAATATCAGTTACTAGTGACCATGAAATAAATCTGTTCGGGGTCTATTCTTCCTCATAAAAATGTAATTCTTCAAATAAACTTTTGAGTCATCTTGGTACTTATATGAACACATAACTAAACCTTCCATATAATTTCATTTCAGCCACAGAAAATTTTAAACAAATTCCAGGAAAGCATGAAATCAGTTAAAACCCAACTCATTACTCTGAACTTCTCCTCCAATCCTTGCCAGCAGCATATCTCATTATCAATACATTAACAATTGTGAACCAGCACAAACTCGAATCGTTTGGGTACACAGCAGGGAAAGAATAACCAAAATGTGTAACAAATTGAAGGTAATTCAGGGAGAGACAACGAAAAAAGCTCTGATTTTACACTGCACACGACCAAAAAACAACATTTGTAGAACTTCGTTCTTGGAAGGAAAGCTTCTCTATTACTGAAACAATGGAAAGTTGACCAAGTCGAAACTGGAACAAGAAAGGAAAAGGCTATGAAACTTCAGGAATTCAAGACTTCGTCCTCTATCGTTGGAAACGGTTCTTTCCGATTTTCTGCGTCTACTTTAAGCGGTCAGAAAGCATCAGGAGGAAAACCTTTCTTGAAATTGAACTACCACGGAAATGGCTGAAACGACGGAAAGCAAAAACCCTTCACAAGATCTGAAACTTCGTGGGAATAATTCTTCTTGCCCTATTCCAATCTCATCATACTAGCACACCATCAAACATACATGTTTTTTTGAAGACTCCAGCGTTTTATTGACATTCCGAAGCGCTTTTACTTAGTAGTTACCACACATTCGGTCCGTGCTTGACCACTCCAGATTCCATGCGTCATCCAATTCCTTTGTCATCTGGAGACGCCGCGTGGCCGCCAAGATTCGACGCCGCCATGACAGTCACCCGTGCAGCTCTCATGTCCTCTCGAAGAGGGACGGCAGGCAGAAGTCGCAATAATCGAGTTTTCTGCCAACACAACTGTCAGTTCAGTACGGGATTGTTTGTATAATCATACTACTTGTATCGTTTCGAAACTTCATTTGCTGCAAAAAAGATTGATTTCCCGAAGCGAGCGGTGTTTAGGAGCGACAGATAGGAGCACGTGGTAATAAAAGTTCACTCAAAAACCTTTGATAGGGAACTCAAACAGACAAATCGTTTCATGAAAAGAAAACTGTCAAGTAAGATCACAAACCTCAGCTAAGAATGAATAGAAGGTAAATCAAAGCGTGAGTAAATTTCAACGACAGCAAAAGTAATCGGTGGATGGCTTAATTTGAATGAGAATAACTAACCCATCAAACTCTTGATAAGCCAGGAAAACGCAAAAATCCTCCACCAAAAAGATTTTAAAAACTTGAGGGATATGGTTAAAAATGGAAACCTTCCGTATACCTTACCTTCAAATGTAGAATTTACAGCTTTCAACGTACAGCCTTTTACGCACACCTTCTATCTACACTCAGTCTTTTGATGCAAATCGACAAGCACTGGATGGAATGTCTAATGCGTCACAGGTCACGAGGTCTATCCATCCCTGAGCCCACGGTGATAAAGACAAATGCGCGGGAAAGCTGCAAGCATACCCACCCAATACATAGAGAAGCCTTGACTGTGCTCTGTTCTATTGTAAAGCACGCAGGAAGCGGCTAGAGTACTAAAGAAGTGTGGAAACACTCGACTACGTCTCGGTTGTGGTAGATTGTGTGTGTTGCGCGAATAACTGTAACAAAAAATAAACTGTATTGGTGCCACGGATACCTGTTAGTACAAAATGCAGACTGAAGACTGCAGACTGGATACAAAATGTAAACTAGGTACAAAATGTAGACTAGATACAAAATGTAGACTGCA